ACCGTGGCCCACTCCCGAGACGTGCTTGAACCCTGGGATTCCCCATCAGACAGCGGCCTTCAGCCGCTCCTTGGACTACAGACCCAGCTTGCGGCATCCTGCCGCCCCTCCTGGTACGCGCACTTCCTGCCTTTGGACCCAAGTGTGTGTGTGTGTGTGTGCCAGCAATACCGTCCACATTGCACTCTCGTGTTGCGTGTGGCCATAGTGGCCCCTGGCCCCACTGTAGCTGTTTTCACCCTGCCAGGCCCCGCCTGGCGCGCAGCTCTGGGGCCAACGACCTGGCGGTTTTCGCCCCGTCCCCAGATCTGCGCTCAACTCCCTGGGCTCTTCAAGTTACTACGGCCTTCAGCCGTGCATTTCTATTTCCACCTGGGAGCGACGCGGGACTCGGAGGCACAGGCGGTTCATCGTCGTGGGTCGCCCTGCCGAGTTTGCGGAATGCCCACCTGGTCCGCCCGCGCCCTACACCGACTGGGCCGATGACGTGACCCTGATCAGCGCCGCCCACCGCTGCCTTGCGCTACCACTCTGTAGGCTGCGCTGCACGGTCTTGGAGTATGACGGGCACACGGTCCTTCTTCGTCGCTCTCGCGCGCATTCAGTTGTGCGATTCTCCCTGGGACTCCGTGGCCGTGAAGGACTTGCTGTCTTGGGTATACGACAGTTGCTATCCTTCGAGCGCTTCCCCGACTAGCCTGCGGGTCGCTTGGCTCTGATGTCACTTAGTCGTTTGGTGCACGCCCACCCTCGAGTGACCTTGTGTTCCCACTGGGTGGTTACTCGTGTACCCCTGCTGCGTCTGTACCAGACCGCTGGTCTTCTGCGCGCAGGCGCATCTCAGCAGTGGGTCGGCGTTTTTGCCGTTCGGCCTCAGGCTCACCCTATCTGCCGCGGATGCGTTTTCTGAAGCTGCGACGGTTCGCTGGCGCTGTCAGAATCCCCTTCCTTGCTGGACGACGTCAACCAGTTTCGGTCTGCTCATACCCGTCAGGCTCCCTGGACTGACTTTCTCGCACGGAGTTCGGTTCCCACCACCACGCGGTTGTCTCGGCACGACCACGACTGGGAACGCACTGCGCGCCATTTTGGCCGCGCCTGGCTTGCTCCTGGGTGACTGACCCCTCAGACTCCCTGGGTTGCAGCTTGCACCACCGCCTCAGGTGACTGACTCCTCAGACTCCCTGGGCTTGCACGACCGCCTGGCCTCTCAGACGCCCCGGGTTGCTGCCCCCCCCCGCCGCCTGATCCGCGGCCCCCGCGCGCGCCCGGGAATTTAGTCGCGGCCGCAGCCCGACCGTGACTGCTCGCCGCCGGCGCTTCCGCCTGCGGCTGTTAAAAAAAAAAAATCCCCACCAGCCCGTCCAGAAACGACGCCCAGGCGAGTAGAGGGTCGTCCTGAGGGGTTTTTCGGCGTCTTGGGTGCCTCGGGGGGGCCTCTGTGGGCCGTTCGGGATCCTCTTTGGGGCGTCCTGGGGGCCTCTTGGGGCCTCTTGGGGCCATCTTGGGGCCTTTGGGGGCCTCCTGGGCGCTTCTTGGGGCCATCTTTGCCCCTTGGGTGCCTCTGGGGGGTCTCTTGGGGCCTCTTGGGGGTCTCTTGGGGGCCTCCTGGGGGCCTCTTGGGGGGCCTCCTGGGGCCATCTTGGGGCCATCCTGCGGCCTCTTGGGGCATCCTGGGGGCCTCTTGCGGCCATCGTGGAGGATTCGATCACAGAAGAGGGGAGCTCTAATTAGCGCTGCCCCCTCAGAAGGCCAAAAATGGGGCCAAAACCATGGTAAAATCAATGATTTTGGCTTCCAAGGAAGTGGGGCTCCCTAATTACAGCCCCCCCCCCCAGGAGCTCCAAAAGTCGCTTCCTGGACCCGCATTGGATCGCTCTTGGAGCGCTCGTGGCCGCTTTTGAAGCCATCCTGAGGCTCTCTTGGGCCCCTCTTGGAGCTATCTTGAGCCATCTTGGAGCCATCTTGACGCGTCGGATGTGCATCGCAAGCGAAAAAGTGAGAACACCAAAAACATTGATTTCCCTTTTGGGTTTTTAAGCATTTTGACCTCTTGGATGCATCCTAATGATGCTCTTGTGGGCACTTGGAACCGTCTTGGGGAGTTCTTGGAGCGTCTTGGAACATAATGGGGACCATATTGAGGCATCTTGCGCTATCTTGAGCCATCTTGGAGGTCATCTTGAGCTCCCTGAGGCCCTCTTGGAGCCGTGTTGGGCCGTCTTGGACGCTCTGGCTTCCCGCGGCCCCCCCTGTCCAGGTCAGTGGGGAGGAGGTAGGGGGAGGGGTAAACCCCTCCCCGAAGGGGAAGAAGGAGGGGTGGAAGAGGAAACGCTCTAAACCACCGACGCCCAGAGGGCTGGTGGGATTGACAGTGGGGGCCCATGCCAATAAACACCCTGCTTGCCTCCAGGGTGCCCTGGGTTTCGATGGCTTTTCGATGGGAGGCGTGACGTTCCCACACCAAACATCGATGGACGCCCTGGGGTCTCAGGGTCGTTTTTGTTGTGGAAGGTTTCTCATGGTCGGGCCCCTACTGTACATGCCAGCTGCTCCTACAACTTGTACGTTCATATCACCCGCACGATGGGCTCCCACTGGACCCACGTGGTCCTACACTCCCAAGGTTGGCTGGGCTCTGCATCTTCACACTTGCCTTACCTGCGTCCTCTTGTCTTCACCTGCCAGCCAGACTACTCGCTGGCACTGCCCCGGGTCTGTCTTGCCTTCGCGGGACCGCTCTTCCCACGCCGCCGATGTCTGTATTTTTATTGTTGCGCTCTGGGTATGTCGATCATAGTTGTTGTTCCTCCCTGGTTCACTCGCACCCACGGCATGTCTCAACTCAGCCGACCGCTGCGCGGCTCTCTGCGAAACGAGCGTTTCCTCCCCTAGAGGAGGAAGCGTGGTTGTACATGTGTGTGCGTGCTTGTTTTTGCTCTGCATAGCTCCCGCCCGCTCTGGCTCGGCTCCGCTGTGTCGCCGCGGGCGTGGCCGCGACGCCAACACAAGCGTGTGTTGCTTGCCCCTGCATGCGTATACTCGTTTCTTCCGCGCTTCTGTCTTCAGTACCGCTCGGCCTCGCTGACCCAGGATGCCAGGACCGGTGCTTGAGCGTACTGGACGCAAGCCGGACGGGGCTAGGACGAAGATGAATCCGTTCCAGAGCGTTCCGAAACGCTCTCAGATTGTTCTGGAGCGCTCTGAGAAGGTCGCGGCGCGCGATACCGATCCATCCTTCAGAGCCGCCGGATTTCAGAGATTCTCGATTTCTCTTCACCCGATGTTATCCTCGTCCTGGTTTCGTCTTAGTTCGTGCAATTCGCGCGTCAGATCTTCGAGTCATCCACCACCGTGCGAGTGATCCACCAAGTGGCCTTCGACCCATTCCGCCACCGTGCCTCGACTGAAGGTCAGGGGCCTCAGGGATGCTCGTGGGGATCTCTCGGGAGGCCTCTCGGGTGCATCTAGGGGGCTCTCGGGGACCTCTACGGGGGCTCTCGGAGGCCCTCTTGGGCCGTCTTGAGGCCCTCTTGGCCTTGGGAAAAAATCTCGGGGACCCGCGGTGTGCCCCAGTAGATCTGTTGGTTCGGGGTCCGGGCCCCTTCAAGATTCGTTCGCCCATGGCTTAGAACGGGGAACTCAAGGGACGAGGGGACACTCGTCGTCGTGCCTCGCGGCACGGAGAGAGGCAGAGAAGGAGAGAGAGAGAGAGAGAGAATGAGATCAAGCGAGAGAAACAAAACAAAACACATTCACACGTACGTGTACACATATCTCTGTGTGTCTCCTATATTTATATGTGTATGTGACTGGCAGATGGAGCGACGGGAACATAACACCAAGCGTCGGACATCAGGAGAAGCAGAGAAGCAGACAGGACAGACAGAGAGAGAGAGAGGGAGCGCGAGAGAGAGCGAGAGAGAGAGCGCGCAACGCGAGCATACGACGAGGCAGGCCTGCCGGAGACCTGAGCGAGACGGAGGGCCGGGGCGGGAAGGGGGGGCTGGGCGCCGCGGGGCGGGGGGCGGGGGCCCGCCCTCCGGGGGAGGCGCTCGAGCTGAGCATGAGGACGGGCGCGGAGGCGCTGCACGACGCCCCGCTCCAGCAGAGCTCCGAGGGGGCGGAGCGGGCGGCGGGCGCCGCGGCCGCGGCCGCGCGCGCCGAGGCGGACGCGGCGGAGGTGGCGCGCTACGAGGCCGCCCTCGCGCAGGCAGAGGCGGCCGCGCGCGAGAGGGCCGAGGCGGAGAGGGAGGCCAGGGCCCTCGCCGAGGCGTCGGGGCTCGAGACGGCGGTGAAGGAGGCGGCGGCCAAGGCGGAGGACGCGGTGCGGGCGAGGGCCGCGGTGGAGGCGCTGGGGAAGGCTGCGGCCCGGGCGAGGGCCGAGGCGGCGAAGAGCGCGAAGGAGCAGCAGGCGGCGCAGGCGGAGGACGCGCCGGGCTCATCTCTCTCCTCCGCGTCCTGCTCCTCCTCCCACTCCTCCACAACATCATCCTCCGCGTCCTCTTTCTCCGTACGTAGCCGTTTTGGCTCAAGTAAACTATTTCATCAAGGTGTTTCGGGATAACCTACACCCAGGGGCCCCACCGACGCTTGCCCACGCTGGGGTTCCCTTCTTTTTCGGGGCTGCGTACTCTACCCGCTCCTACTGTTGTCGTTCCGCATTTGCGGGTGCGGCGACATCAGTCGTAGCCGATCATTCCTTCTCTGGCAGCGCCACGGCGGGGGGCCGCAGGGACAAGAAGGAGGAAAAGAGCAAGAAGGACTCCAGAGATGGCAAGGTGTCTACGCCTGCTCGTTGTCGGGGTCGTAATGCTGATGATGAGGTCATGTCGCGATTCTCGTCAGCCAGCGCATCTCCACTGGCAAGTCCACGTCCGAAGGATCGTGTTCGGGATCGTGTGCGTCGACGGGGACGAGATCAGACAGGCAGCCCATGGCTCCGCCCGTTGCTCGAGGAGCGGCCGTGGTTCCCCCGACAGGTCCTCCGAGCGACGCGATGGGTGGCGGAGTGGACTCTGCAGCCGCTGCTGCAGGAGCCGCCGACCTTCTGGCGGCCGAGGCGATGGCCGCCGCACTCCCAGCACCGCGCCCCGACGGAGTGCCCGGACTTGCCCCCGGAGGCCCCATGCCACGGCCCATGCCCGGAGCCCCTGCGGGGGTGGCCGGGGGCGCCCCGTGCGCTCTGCGCGGTGGAGCCGATGTGCAGCCTCGCCACCCTCGCTGGGCGCGGGCGGGGCCCTGCTCCTGTCGGTGGAGGCGATCCTCCTCCTCCGCCTCCTCCGCCTCCGCCTCCTCCGCCTCCTCCGCCTCCGCCTCCTCCTCCTCCTCCTCCTCCTCCGCCTCCTCCGCCTCCTCCGCCTCCTCCGCCTCCTCCGCCTCCTCCGCCTCCTCCGCCTCCTCCGCCTCCTCCTTCTCCTCCTCCTCCTCCTCCTCCTCCTCCTCCCGGGCAGGCGCGAGTGTGGCCGCTGTGGTCGAAAAGGTTCATGCTTCTTTCATGGCCATTTTCCGCGAGGACTGCGCCAAGAGCATCGCGGACACCGTGGCCGAGTCTGTGCGTAGAATGTTGCCTGACGTGGTCGCCACAGTTGCACTGCTCACTTGCATGAAGAAGTCGTTCCAGGAACGCTTCGAGGATGTGGTCCGTAGAATCGTGAAGAGTGAGCGTCGCCCAGAAAAGGTGGAGGGGGATCAGTCGGGCATGCTTGCTCGATAGGAGCGGCGCGAGCAGGTGTTAGAACCCGCCAAGGCGGAGCCGCCCATCCCAGTCCAGCGCACAGCCGATTGGGAGCGGCCGCTGGACAAGTGCATCTTTGTCGTCAGCGCGGACGAGGCCGTGTCCAAGACATCTGTAGCCATCGCCTTGGGCACCTGTCTGCAGCGGCGAACTATGAGATGGGCGAGCAGTGCGAGCTGGAGGCCCCGCAGCTCAGCGAGGTCCACCTCCTGCGCGTCAAAGCAGACGCCCACTTCGCTGTGGAGGCGAGGGTGCGCTAGGCGCGTGCGGCGCTGCGGATGGGCCCGGGCCGCTGGGGCCGTTTCGCGGCCGCTGCCCCTGGTGGGCGTCGCGCGAGAGCAGATGCGGGGCTTGACCAAAACAAGCAGGACGCGGCGAGGGAGCGCGCGGCGAAGAAACGCCGCAATGCTTGATCGGCCCATCTCGACCCGCCACTTCTGCTCGACCGCGAGACGGGCGCTGCGCTGCTCGCGCGGCAGCCTGCGGCACGGTCAGGGGCGGCCTGGCCGGCCCCGAGCGAGCCATCCCCTTCCACGACGCCCACCTCGTCTCGCTCCAGGATGCACGTCTGCGGCCGAAGGGGGGCTCGAAAGGCGAGGGTGACGTGTCGGAAGGGGATGGCGTGTCAGGGGTCGGTTAGGCCGCGCGACGGGTGCTGGCTCACCCTGTCGACGCGCCGTGGGCCCAGCGGAGCCTGGCAGGGCTCGCCGAGCTCCTTCTCGACGGGCCTGGGCTGGCGGCGGTGGCAAACGGGGCCTTCCCGCCCGCGGCGGCCGGGGGTAACGACCTGTTCGGCACGCGCTTCGCCAAGTTCGCCCAATGGAACTGCCGCGCCCTCTGCCACCATGCTGCTGTAGGTATTGCGCGTCGGCTCCGGCTTCCCTCTGAGCTGGCCGCCTCCTCCTCCTTCCCCTCCGCTTCTTGTGCCGCCCTTGATCCCAAGGGAGCGCACGGTGGTCGCGACGTGGTCGCCGAAGCCACAAAACGTGCCAGTTTAATTCGTCGAGCTTTGCGCGTTAAGATGAGGACTGAGGACTGCCCCCCAGGGCCCTGCCGGATTGCTCCCTGGATGGTTCGCCCGAAGTTCTTGCTCGCGGCAGGATCTCGTCGACCCAAATCATGAATGTGCACTCCATTTCTTGCCTGTGGCATTGGAATGTCTGCATCTTCGACCTTGGTGTTGAGGCGATCAAGCGCTTGTGCTCTCGCGTTCGGCAAGATGTTGCCGCGGCGCGGGGTGCCCCCATTTGACTTTGGCCTGCTGCTGCAGGGCGCTTTGGAACATTTGCGACTCGGGGCGCGAGCGCGCCCTCGCCCCCCGTATCGCGCCGGGCTCGAGTGGGCCGTTGCTCGGACAGAACCGCCGGGGGGCCTGGCGGACGCTGCGCGGCTAGCAGTCCGGAAGCAGCTCGAAGGGATTTCGAACGATCGGCAACCCTGTTTTGCACGTAAGGCGGAAATCCTGCGCTTGCGTGGGCAGGTTGTTTGCGGCCACCCCGCCCTGGCTTCCTTGCCAAGCTTGGCGGACGGTGGGTCTCGCGCCGAGTTTGAAGAGCTCCATCTCGGTGGTGTCAGCGACCTTTCCTCCGTCTCCTTTTTTTCTGCTCGTTGCGCGGATCGGCCTCTCCCGCTTCCCTCTCCACCTCTGCTTGGGCTCTGCGTGTGATGACGTGGCCAGAGCGTGCGAGGCCCATGCCGATCCTGGACTGTGCGACCCGCCTGGGCAGCTGAGACTTGCCGCTCTTTGTCGCAGCTCGCGGGAGCGGCTACAGTCGGGGCCCTGAAGAAGGAACCCTTTTGGTTGGGGAGGGGCTCCGCGTTCCTTAAGTGTTTCACAGCTTGCCTCAGGTGTTCCTTATGTTTTCGATCGGAAATCGAAGTTTGACTTATGGGAAATAGGGGCCTCGTTCCTTATTTAGGGTTCCTTAGGTCAATGCCCCGACTGTACTCGCGATCTGCAGCTCGGGCAGCAACCGCGCCGCATCGATTCGCGCGCGAGGGCGGCTCGCTTGGCTGCGCGAGCGGGGCGCGGGCAGGATGCACAGACGGCGCGCGCTCGTCGCGCGCATCACCCTCGGACTAGAGACGTGCTGTTGGCCCCTGCTGGCAGGGGGATTCGTTGGCGGATCCCGCCAAATCCATCGCGGCGCGCGCGCGCCTCCAGCAGCAGAAGGCACGCCGTCGCAAGGGGCGTCTCGAGAAGGAAGCCGAGGGCGCTGCTAGGCCCGGGCGGCGCCGGCGTGCACGCGACAGGAAGCCGTTGGCAGGTCGGCGCGCGCCGCTGTGGCGCCTGCTCCGACGGTGATTTTTGTTTGGCTTGCGTTACTCAGGAGGTAAAGAAACACACAGACACAAGTCATCGCCCACTCCCAGGAAAATGTTGGAAGTGTGGGGGAAGGCGAAAACCCAGAAAATATATGAAAATATGGGAACTCCTGGGATTTGTGTGTATTTTTTGTGTGTCCCTGGGCCCCTTTAGTTACCTCGGCGACCGCGGGCCCCCGCGCTTCAGAATCGAGCGCAGCGGGCTCTCGCGCAAGTGAGCCCGAGGCTCTCGCGCAGTGCGCGAGCGCTCGCCCGCGCGCGCCGCGGCATCCTGAACAGTGTGCGGCCTCCCCGTTCCACGGCACGCCCGTCAATCTCCCCCCCCCCCCCTTGGAGGGGGCCCGTCAATCTCTCCCCCCCGCCCCTCGGCGTGGAACGGGGAGGGGAGGGGGCCCCTCCCCTCCCCGTTCCACGCCGACGCTCCCCAGCAGGCCCACCCACGGTAGGCTGCTCTCCTGCCCCGCTGGCCCTGCCCGCGCGGGGCCTGTGCCGCAGAGGGCTCCGACCGGCCCTGGAAAACCAGCAGTGTTTTTCCCTACCTAGGCTCTGCCTAGAAGGGTTCTTACTCTCTGGGCTTAAAGGGGCCGGGCAGTGGAAAGCGCCCCGGGCGGTTCCCCCAGTATCCGCCCCGCGGTTCCCCCAGTTGCGCTTAGCTTAGCTAAGCTATCTTAGCTTAGCTTAGCTGTGCCTAGTCTAGCCTAGCCTAGCCTAGCTTAGCTTAGCTTATCTTAGCTTAGCTTAGCGTATATCATATTAGCTTAGCTTAGCTAAGCTTAGCTTAGCTTGGCTTGGCTTGGTTTAGCTTAGTTAAGCTTAGCTTAGCCTAGTCTAGCTGAGTTTAGCTTAGCTTAGCTTAGCATAGCATAGCTTAGCGTACCTTAGCATAGTTTAGCGCAGCGCAGCATAGCGCAGCGCAGCATTAGCACATCATAGCATAGCATAGCATAGCCAAGCATGGCATAGCATAGCCTAGTCTAGCTCAGCATATCATAGCATAGCATAGCATAACATAGCATAGCATAGCGCAACATATTATATCATAACACCTCATAGCATAGCATCGCATAACATGGCATAGCAAAAACAAAGGCATAGGCAACGGCAAAAACAAAGGAAAGCGCAACAGCACAGGCAATGCAAATCAAAAGCGACACCAATGCGAAATTGTAGATGTAGATGTGGATGTAGGTGTAGATGTAGATGTAGGTGTAGATGTAGATGTAGATGTAGATGAAGATGTAGGTGTAGATGTAGGTGTAGATGTAGATGTGAGTCTCGCTGTTGATGTTGATGTAGATATAGATGCAGGTGTAGATGTAGATGTAGCTGTGGGTGTAGATGTAGATGTTGCTTTCCTAAATGCTCCAACTCCTAGGTAGGGTCGCACTGGGACAATTTGTTGTTTGTTTTGCTGTGGGCTCCTCTCCTCTAAGGAGGGGAAAACACACAGACACAATTAATCGTCGATTCCCAGAAGATCTGGGAACATATGGGAAGTGGGGGAAGACCAAAACCAAGAAAAAAGATAGGAAAATAGGGCGAATCCTGCTAATTGTGTGTATTTCTTTGTGTGTGGGCCCCTTCATCCTCCTCCCTCGGGAGCAGCAGCAGCCCGAGGGAGCAGAGAGGGAAGAGGGCACGGGGAGTGGGGCGCGGAGGAGAAGGGGAAGAGACGGCGCAGGCGATGATGCTCGTCCCTCGGAGGCGGAGCTCGAGCGAAGGACCCGAGAGGGCGGCCAGGCCGTGCCCCCCCGGCGGGCAGCATGCACGGCGCGCGGAAGGTCCTCTTCCCGTCGGCTGTGCGGCCGTCGGGCGGGAGCTGCACCGCAGGCGGGCGCTGGAAAACGCGTCGCCGACGACCAGTCTCCGACCGCCCAGGGCACCGTTGCTGGGCGCCGCTGGGCCAGGGACTCCTATACCGCTCGGCCTGGCCAACCGCACGTGGGATCCGGCTGCGGGATCCACCCTGGAAGGGCTCCCTTCAGCCGGGTTGCCTTGCGGGGGCCTCCGAACGTTCGGCGGCGAGGGGGACCTCAAGTCCCCCAGCTCACAACCGCCTCCCCCCCCCTCAGAACCTCCCTCCTCACAGCCTTCGCTCCGCATGTCGCGCGCAAGGCGTCCCTCCCCTCCCTCTCTCCTCACCGTGTCTTCTCTGCTCGGGCGCGCCGGGGATCCCAGAGGTGGACGCCGGGTCGCCCGAAACGCCGTCCGCCCATCCCCTCCCTCCCTCCCTCCCCTCCCTGCCTGGGTCACCCCAGGCATGCGTAAATGACACGGTTCGGCGGTTCGGCGCTGGACAATCCGTCTTTCCTCGTCCCCCGTCTTCCTCCCCCCCCTCCCTCCCCTCCCCTCCCCCTCCCCTCGCTCTTGGGGCCCCCCCTCCCCTCCCCTCCCTCCGCCCCCCCCCCCTCCTCGTTAGGCCTCTTCTGCCTCGGCCTCGGCCTCCCTCCCCCCTCTCCCTCCCCGCGCCTTCCCGACGTGGGCCCGAACATCTGATGCGCCCCGATGCTTTCAAATCCGCGGCCTCGACCCCTCTCCCGGGCGTGGCTCGTCGTCCCGGGCCCGTTTGGGAGGACAAGCGCCGCCGCCGCCAACGACGACGACGACGCCGCCGCCGCCGCCGCCGACTCCGACGACGGTGGCGACGACCACGGCCACGACGACCACGGCCACCACAACAACGACGGCAACGACGAGGACGACGAGGACGACGAGGACGACGACGAGGACGACGAGGTCGACGACGACTACGACGAAAACGACTACGACGACGATGACGACGACCACTGCCACGACGACGACGGCGGCGACGACTACGACGACGAGGACGACGACCACGACGGAAACGACGACCACGACGACGTCGACGACCACGACGACGACGACGACGACGACGAAGACGACGACGACGACACGACGACGACGCCGAGGACGACGAGGACGACGAGGACGATAACGAGGACTACGACGACTACGACGATGAGGACAACGACGACACGACGACGTCGACCACGATGACGACGACGACGAGGACGACGAGGACGACGACGAGGACGACGACGACGACGACCAAGATGACGACGACGACGAGGCGACGAGGACGACGACGAGGACGACGACGAGGACGACGACGACGACTACGACGACGAGGACGACGACGACGAAAACGACGATGACGACCACGGCCACGACGACGACGACAACGGCGGCGACGACTACGACGACTACGACGACGACGACCACGACGAAAACGACGACCACGACGACGTCGACGACGACGACGACGACCACGGCGACAACGACGACGACGAGGACGACGACGAGGACGGCGACGACTACGACGACGAGGACGACGAAGGTGAAAACGACGAGGACGACGGCGGCCACGGCCACGACGACGACGACGACGGCGGCAACGACTTCGACGACCACGACGACGGCTACGACGGAAACGACGACCACGACAACGATAAAGACGACGACGACCACGGCGACAACGATAACGATAACGTGACGACGACGACGACGACGACGAGGACACGACGACGACGAGGACACGACGACGACCACCGTGGACTGGTGGCGCAGGCCTGGCGCGACGGCCGCGCCTCGGGAGCCCGAGCGGCGCCGTCGTCGTCGTCGTCGTCGGCGGCGTCGCCGTCGTTGTCGCCGTCGTTGTCGTCGTCGTGGGTGGTGGGCGGCTTGGTGGTCGTGGTCGTCGTCGGCCTCGTCGTGGTCATTTGAGCAGTGGCGAGCCGCACTGGAAGGCCGAGCCAGCTCCTGGGGCGCGCTTGCAGCCTTGCCCCTGGCATCGCTCGGAGGTGTGCCTTGCTTCTCGCCGAGGAGCATCGAGGAGCGTCCTCCTCCTCCTCCTTCTCCTCCTCCTCCTCCCTCCTCCTCCTCCCTTCTCCCTCCTCCTCCTCCTCCCTCCTCCTCCTCCTCCTCCTCCTCCTCCTCCTCCTCCTCCTCCTCTTCCCCCTCCTCCTCCTCCTCCTCCTCCTCCTCGGTCTCCTCCTTGCTTCTCGCCGAGGATCATCTCGCGAGAAGTGCACGCGCGAAGTCGCACCGTGTACGGGGAGCGGGCCTCCGAGCGATGGCCAGTGCCTCCCTGCCCATGCTGGCCCCGGGCCATGGGACGCCCTCCGCGCCCTCCCCGGGCGAACAAGCAATGAGAGAAACATAACAACTCGAAGGTCTGTGCAGATCTCTCCCACGCGGAACTCCAAGCTGTTGTGTTTATGCCATTGTTCCTCTTCCTTCTCCTCCTCCTCCTCCTCCTCCTCCTCCTCCTCCTCCTCCTCCTCCGGTCCACTGCGCGGCCGCCCGTGTCCTTTCCCCCCTTCATGCACGCCGGCCAATTCGCCATTCGGTTGCCCCGACTCGCCACCCGCTGGAGCAGCTTCTCTGCTTCGCCGCCGACGGGCAAACGTTGCACCATTGTTTGTGCCCGAGGTCCGCTCCGCCTTCTCGGTCCTGCCCCCTTTCCCACGGCCACGGCGCAGGAGGCGTCGGCGAAGGCCGCGGCGGAGGCGACGGCGAACGCTGCGGCTCTCGCGCAGGCCGCGGCGCTGGAGGAGGCCCATCGGGGAGGTGGTCCACCGCCGCTGGAGCGAGGAGGAGGGAGGAGGCGGAGAAGGAGGGAGGAGGAGGGAGGAGGAGGAGGAGGAGGAGGAGGAGGAGGAGGAGGAGGTGGAGGAGGGAGGAGGGAGCAGGCGGCGGCCGCGGCGGCGGCGGCGGCGGCGGAGGAGGAGGAGGAGGAGACGAGAGAGGAGGAGGAGGGGGGAAGGAGGTGAGGAGGAGAAGGAGGAGGAGGAGGAAGAGGCGGAGGAGGAGGAGGCGGAGGAGGAAGAGGAGGAGGAGGATGGGCAGCAGGAGGAGGATCGAGGATCGTGGATCCAGGTTTATCGGAGACTTTGCATCTTTTTAGCCCTCTGGAGGGTCCCGGTGGCTTCCGCAAGCTTCGGGCGACCCGCGGAGGCCTCCTGGGAGAGGGGGGCATCCACAGGCCCTCTTCGTCGGGGACAAGATCGTCGTGGGATCGAGCATCGAGGAGTAGGAGGAAGAGGTTGAGGAGGAGGATGAGGAGGAGGAGGGGAAGGAGGAGGAGGAGGAGGAGGAGGAGGAGGAGGATGAGGTCTTCATGCTTGGTCAACGTAAAAAAAAGAGGAGAGGACGAGGAGGAGGAGGAGGATGGAGGAGGAGGAGGAGGAGAGGAGGAGGAGGAGTGCGAGGAGGATAGGAGAGGAGCAGGAGGAGGCGGAGGAGGCGGAGGAGGAGGAGGAGGAGGAGGAGGAGGAGGGGAGGAGGAGACGGGACCGGGGTGGGCCTGGGAGGGAGGGAGGGAAGGGGGAGTGAGAAGGAGGAGGAGGAGGAGGAGGAGGAGGAGGAGGAGTGCGAGGAGGATAGACGATGAGCAGGAGGGCGCGGAGGAGCGGAGGTAGGAGGAGGAGGAGGAGGAGGAGGAGGAGGAGGAGGAGCGGACACGGAAGGTGGGGAGGGGGAGGCGAGGAGGGAAGGAGGGAGTGAGAAGGAGGACGGAGGAGGAGGAGGAGGAGGAGACTCGGGACGAGGAGGAGGAGGAGGAGAGGAGGAGGAGGAGGTAAGTACGGGTAGGGATCTAAACAACATAAGGAGGAGGGACAGGGCCTCCTGGTGGAGCCAAGGAGAAGGACTGCTCAGCCCAGTAGCCGCATAGCAGGATAGGAGAAGGATGAGGAGAATGAGGTGGAGGAGGAGGAGGAGGAGGAGAGGAGGATGAGGAGGAGGAGGAGGAGAAGGAGTGAGGAGGAGAAGGAGGAGGAGGAGGAGGGAAGGAGGAGGAGAGGGGGGAGAGAGGAGGAGAGAGGAGGAGAGAAGGAGGGAGAGGAGGGAGGATGATGAGGAGGAGGGGGCGGAGTCAGGGAGAGGAGGAAGAAGGGGGAGCGGAGGAGGAGGAGGAGGAGGGAGAAGGGAGGGGGGAGAGAGGGAGAGAGGGAGAGAGAGGGAGGAGGACCGGACGTGAGGACGAGGACGAGGACGGGGAGGAGTGCGGATGAGACGGATTAGGAGGAGTAGGAGGAGGAAAAAGTGGCAGGATAATGATGAATCATATGACGATGATAATGATGTTGATGATGATTCCAATGATGATGCCTATGATGCTGATGATGGTGATGATGCTGCTGATGCTGACACACACGATGATGATGACGATGATGACGATGATTATGCTGTTGATGATGATGCTGATGATAATGATGATGATGATGATGATGATGATGATGATGATGATGATGATGATGATGATGATGATGATGAGGATGAGGATGATGCTGATGATGATGATGATGATGATGATTATGATTATGATGATGATGATACGAATGATGATGCTGATGCGTCTGCTGATGATGATGTTGTTGCTACAGGTGATGTTGCTGATGCTGATGCTGATGCTGATGCTACGGCTAATGCTGCGGCTGATATGATGATGCTGATGATGCTCCTGATGATGACGATGATGATGGTGGTGGTGGTGGTGTCGGTGTTGGTGGTGGTGTTGGTGATGATGATGGTGACGATGATGGTGGTGATGAGGATGCTGATGCTGATGCTGATGCTGCTGCTGATGATGATTATGCTGATGGTTATAATGATGATGTTCATGATGATGATGCTGACGATGCTGATAGTGATGATGATGATGTTGATGATGGTGATGTTGATGATGATGATGATGCTGTTGATGATGCTGCTGCTGATGATGATGATGAAAACACTCAGTTGCCCCCCGTCCCCTCTTCTTCCTTTGTCTTCGTTTCCTCCCCCTCCTCCTTTCCAGGCGCTAGTGCTGATGTGCATCGGTGGCCTCATCATCGGCCACGCGGCCGTGACAGCAGCTGGCCAGATAGCCGTTGATGGCGGCTGCACGCTGGTCGCCTGCCTTGGAGGGGTTGGCCCAGGTAGTCTGGGTGCATGGCAGACTGGCGTGCAGTGTCTTTACGTCTTCTCCCTCCTTTTCTCTCTCCTCCCCTCCCCCGCTCTCTTCATCCAATCGGTGCTGTGGCACTGCTTGCACGTGGGCCGAGGCCGCCTCCTCGCCCGGCACTGCCCGACCCTGCGGGCCGCCCTGATTCTCGTGGGTCCGCCTCAGGCTTGCACAGTGTCTTCGGCGGGGATTGGCCTCCCCATGGCCGCCCTGTCACACAGTACTTCTAGCGCGTGCTTCGCACCGAAGATTCGCAGCACTGCTATGCGCCATCCCGTGCTCCGGGCGCATTTTTTTGTTATTGAGGGTTCTTGCTATTGCGAGTCTCTCTGCGGTTCTCTCTTGTCCTGGCCCATTTCCTCGTCTTCCTCCCCCTCCCCCGGCCTCTCTCCAGCGTGATTGGAATTTGGGAGATGTCCCATCACCCGCTGATTTCAATACCGTTAGCCTTGATATGTTGCCCCTTTTGCTGGGTTGCTGCTGTAGTTCAACATGTCAGAACGCGTGCTGACCAACTTTGGCGTCCACGTTTCCCTCTCCTCGTCTTCTCTCTCCCCCTCCTCCTTCGCACCCTCTTAAGTACCACCGAGTGAATTAATGACTATACTCGTATGTTGAGGTGTTGGTAGGGTGGGCGCGGAAATCTGCAGTCCAACTCCACTGCTCTGTCTGCGGCTGCAGCTTGCCCGCAGGAATGGGACCCATGACCTGCATGGAGAGGCGAAAGGTGGTACAGCATTCATCGTGGGGAAAAAGGATGATGATGAGGAGGAGGAGGAGGAAGAGGAGGAGGAGGAGGAGGGGGAGGAGGAGGAGGAGGAGGAATAATGGGAGGAAGACGCGGAGGAGGAGCAGGAGGAGGAGGAGGAGGAGGAGGAGGAAGAGGAGGACGGAGGGAGGAGGGAGAAGTGACTACTCTCTCTCTCTCTCTCTCACTCTCTCTCTCTCTCTCTCTTTGCCTCCCTCTCTCCCCCCCTCCAGGCCGAGAGCGCGAAGAGGGCGGAGTCCACAACGGAAAACGAATGATCCGCGCGCCTGGGCAACCCCGGCGGCAGCCCTCCTGCCCCCCCCCCCCCTTCCGCCGCCGTCGCCCGCCAGCCTCCTCCTCCTCCTCCTCCTCCTCCACCTCCTCCTCCTCCTCCACCTCCTCCTCCTCCTCCTCCTCCTCCTCCGCCAGCCTCCCCTCCCCAGACATGATTTTTTTGGGGGGTCGCGTCCGCTAGCGAAGGCGCAGGCGGAGACAGAAGCTGTCCGGGGCACGGAGGCAGTCCTGATTCGCTCCTAGGCGCGCAGCGGGCCGGCCGGGCCAGTTCACAAGCAGCTGCTGAGCCGCGCGGCGAGGGCTGACTGGCAGAGGGCACCCAGGGAAGCTCGAGCAACGTGCAATCCGCAAGATGCCAGGGAAGTCGATGCCTCCCCAGACATGATCGCGTCATGAAAAAAAGCAGGCGGCGGGTTCTCGGCAGAGTTTTTTGCCTCGTGGGGCCCTCGCCGGGCCTCGGCACCGTCAGAGAACGACTCGGGATGAAGAGCCGGTGCCAGGGGGACTTCTGGAGATGCCGTCCCGAGAAAATCAGGACGTCGCATGTCTGGGTCTCTCCCCAGGCATGGCATGCCCGAGCGATGGCATGAGGTCGAGCCATCTTCGAGCTGGGCCACCACCTCGGGGTTCGTGCTCTTGGTGGTGGCACAACGGTCCGAGTCGGCCTCCTCCCTCTGCTCAGACATGGCATTTCGGAGGCAGCTCCTGCGAGGTCAAACTTTGAGGCTGCCATGGTTCGAGGTCCCGCTTCATCCGGCCTGGTCCTGCTCAACCCGGATCCACCCCGCTCAATCCACGGCCCAATTCTGCGCAACAGCCCTCCAATGGGGTTTGATCCTCCTGAGTCATTCCGACGACGACCTCCCAGCCTCCTGAGTCGCCTCCTC